ACAGCCTATTTACATCTGACTTACAGCTCAATAAAAGGCAAGAAAGTGATTCCCCGAACTTAGATGGAAACAAATTCCAGCTCCTTTAGGCAGTGCAGTGGGGGTATAGTGAATAAATAGAAAATATGATCATATAAACAGGATACTGAGAAAAGTAAATTTGAGGTACAACAAATAACTGGGGCTCATTACATTAAGCAAAGGACAATCTATAGGCGACTCCATCCAAGATGTGTCCCAGACGACACCAAAATCATAGTGCTCTGGCCATCTCTGACTACCATGTTTTCCTAAAAAATCTGACATTTTTAAATACTTCAGGACCTATAGAAAATAATCCTAAACTAGAAAAATACTTAAATTGTCATATTTAGTGAAACAGATGAGATATGTTCAAAATGATAGACCATGATCTATGCTTGCGCTGATCAACTCTAGTGTGTAGCTCACCGTGACCAATTTGAACACATCTCATGTGTTCCCACACCATCCAGCTAGAGCTTCCTGCCGTCTTCCTGACTCATACCTGTCTCCGGGGGTAGACAGGAGTGGGGCAGTGGTGTGCCTGCTGGAAGGAGCGCTGGCTCCTGAGTCAGACTCCCCTGGCCTCAAAACTCAGTTATATCAGCTGTGTGACCCCAGATAAGCCATCTTAAGTCTGTTTCCTCTTCTGTAAGGACAACACCAATACCAACCAAGAGGACTAATACCAAGCTTTAAAAGTCTACGTAAAGACCCGTGGGAAGCATCTCATCAATGGTATCCATACAGTTGGCCTCTCAAGATCAAGCCAATGTAATAAAACATCTGCCTTCATAGAAGCTTCTAAATCCCCCTTTCTCTCCAGGAAGGAAAAGGAAAGAAGCCTTTCGTTCAGGCTTCTCCTTATTCCCTAATACCCTGCACTATCTTTTGGTGAACTATGCCACTTTTTATGGCCAGTTATGTATGAGGCATTTACACACCTATTTCTTTTGCCAGTAATTACACAGTATAAGTAATACAGGATTTTCAAATTTAAGTCAGGGTCTGAAAAACAACAGAATTAAATCTAATTCTAATGTTGCTTATTTAAAGTCTTTGAAATTTCTATATTGAAACCCGAAGTTCTTTCATGAAGTAGCTTAAATCTCTGCTTTCCCTTTCTTTATTTGATACATATATATTTTTTTAAATTTTATTATGTTATGTTAGTCACCACACATTACATTATTAGTTTTTGATGTAGTGTTCCACGATTCATTGTTTGCGTGTAACACCCAGTGCTCCATTCAATACATGCCCTCTTTAATACCCATCACCAGGCTAACCCATCCTCCCACCGCCCTCCCCTCTAGAACCCTCAGTTTGTTTCTCAGAGTCCATAGTCTCTCATGGTTCATCTCCCCCTCCGATTTCCACCCCTTCATTTTTCCGATGATACATATATTTTTAAGCATATTTCTCATTAAACTAAGAACATCACAGATAAGGCTATTTTTTTTTGTCATTTACCTGAAAGAATTACAGTGCTAGGGATGGGAAGTAAGAGAAGTATTACTCTAACATCCTCTTTTTCTGAGGGAAGAAGTGATAAAAGAGGGTCAGTCTCTGGGCTCATTTTGATATGTACAAAAGGCTATTCCATCTGGACTTACAAGTGATTCTAGAATTAACAGATACATGTCTATACATTCCCTACATTGGAATGAGACATACGGGCTCCAGTGAGGAAGCTACTGCTTATATAATCTCGATTCTTGACAAGTAAAAACTTTTCAGAATTTTTCTTGGTTATTCCATATTGTCTGGTTAAACTCTGGAGGGAAAGCAGAACCCCAATGTCCTAAAAAAAATGCGTATTTACTTTGGAAGAAATGTATCTTTCTTAGATACTTAGGTATCTTAGAGTCATCTCATTCTCTCACTGTGTGGACACAGGACAAGCTCTTAAAAGAACTATTTTACTTCCCTCTTGAATTTCTTTCTGCTGCATAGCTTAAGGCATAAGCCCTAGTTTGCTTTTTTGTGTCCTTAGTGAGACTGCAGCCCATTAATTTGTTTCTCTACTGAGTTGTATCTGAGGAAGAAAAATTTCAATTGATTATTGTCTTACCCAGTTCCTTGATGGTACTTTACCACACCCAGGGCCAATAAAATATTGATGGAATGGTAAAACGGAAGGCTATCTCATGATTCAGTGACTCAAAACTGTGAAAAGCTTTTGTCAAGTAACAATATTTAGAAGGACAACTCAATAAGTTAGAAGGGGTAGACTGACATGCAAATATCCATCGCCTTTTATTAAGTAAATTAAAAATAGATTTAATCTTTAATATGTGTCCCTACAGAATAAAATTTACTGGATTCAATTGTTGATTATGTGCTCGGCAGATTGGCTAATTACTTTGGGGCAGATGCTTGATGCATATTAATTTGGGTTCCGTGTCAATTATCACTATCTTTTATTCACAATATAGCCTTCCACTTAGCACAGTTTGGTAACTATAAGGATGTGCACTTGAAAGGTAACTTCAAGCAATTCTGAAGGGGGACAAAATGGCATCCCGGAAGGAGCCCTGAGCTATGAATGAGAGCCCGGATTCTAATGTGCTCGGAACCACATGATCTTGGGCCAGTCATTTACTCCTCATAATCATGCTAGGTGTATATCTGCTGCATAGGGATGTCATGTGAACCCGGGGGAGCAAAAGCATTACCACGAGGGACCAGAAGGAGAGAGAGCTCCTTATGCATTTCCAAAGTAGCATTTTACTAACAGTTGTTTGCAGGTAAAATGTTAATTGATGGTTAAAACACGTTAGGGAATTTAAAGGACTGACAAATCCCAAGCATTGGTAAGGACAGAGAGCAACTGGAATTTTCATACATTTCTTGTGGGAATATGAAATGCTACAGCCACATTGGAAATCAGTCTGGTAGTTTCTTAAAAAAGTTCAACGTGCATGTATAGTAGGATGAAGGAATTCCACAATTCCCCTCCCAGGTGTTTACAGAAGAGTAATGAAAGCACAGGTATACACAAGCACTTGTACATAAGTGTTTATGACTGCTCTATTCATAATGGTCCCAGGCTGGAAAGAACCCAAGTGTCCATCAACAGATGAATGGATAAACAACCTGCGGCATAGATATCTATGTAAGCATAGAGATGTACGCTACAAATACATACTGTACGTACTACTCAGCAATAAAAAGGGATGATGCTGCTGACGCATGCAACAAAACGAATCTTAAAATCAGTATCCCAGCAGAAAAAGCCAGATAAAAGAAGAGCACATACTGTACGGTTCCATTTTTAGAATCGTGCCAAATGAGGCCATTGTGACAGAAGGTCCATTGTGGCTGTCTGGGGCTGGGCCTTGGGGGGAAATTGATTGCGAAGGGGATGAGGGAACTTTACAGAATGATGGGAAGGAAGGTCCTATGTCTTGATGACGATGCTCGTTTCACAGATGTATCTATTTGACAAAACTCATCAAACTGCATGCTTGAAATGGGTGTATTTTATTATGTATAAATGATCTCTCGATAAAGTTGAATGAAAAAATGAACACACACACACACACAGGGAAGGCAGTGACAAATGTGAAGTTGACATGTCCCAGGCTGACCATCAGATCCTGAGCAAGTGGTCAGAGATCAGGTCAGGCCGTGAACTTTGGTGGGAGAGCCCACCAAAGTTCAGGGCCTGACCTGATTCTACTCCCGGGCTGACTTCCTTTTATACAGACTCTGCTATACCTGTGTGAATGTGACAATGGCCACGAAAGCAGTTTGTAAACCAAGGAGGGCTATCTCCAATCATAAAGGGCGCAATGGCTAAGGCTGATCGTGCACCTGTCCAGGGTCTTGAGCTGCCCCCTTTGTGTCAGCTTCCGGGCATGGGGGGGGCAAGCACAGATTGAGAAGGATCCCTCCTGGGCCTCCAAGGGGACCTGGTACTTGCAATCACTTCCCTTTCCTCCAACCTTCCTCTCCTGTGCTGGGCTTCCCTCACCACCCAGAACAACAGGCCTTTGAGAACCTCTAAAGGAGTCATGAATAAATGGACATAAAGACAACCTTTCTCGAGGCACACTGAATTTTGAAAATTAGGTTAATTCTTGCTTCTGGCATGGTGATTAAGAGCTCGAGCCTCCAGGTCAGACTCCACGTGTCCAGACACCAGCCCCCCTACACCTACCGGATGAACCCACAAAACCCTTTAACTTCTCAGAGCTTCCACTTCTTTGTCTGCAAAAGAGAGGTTAAAATAGCACCCACTTCACAGGCCGATATAAGAAATGAGCAAGGGCATCAAAGTCCTTAACACAGGGTAGCACGGAGTAAGAAAGCGACAACTGAAAGCTACAAATACTACTGGATATTTTTGTCCCGGCTGCCCCAGCTTCTCTCTCCGTTTCCTGTAGGACATCAGAGAACATTCTTCCCCACTTTACAGTAATCCAGCCAGACTCTTTGATGGGGGGGGCAAGGGGGGAGGGGAGAGCAGAAAGTTCCCAAACTCAATTCACACTCAGCCTAAATGGGAACTTTCCTAAAAATACCAGTTACAGAAGCCAAATTGGTCGGGCGCAGCCACACCCGTGAGCTTGAGTTGCACACTCCGAGGTGACGGCAAGCGCTGTATTTTATCTGTACCTCTTGGGCCGCCGGTCACGTGCGCTGTAATTGCGTGAATAGGCAGAAAACAGTCCAGCCACATGCTGTGCTCGAGAAAGGTAGAAAATTGGGTGCTCCCGCAAGCCAAGTAGGGAATTAATAATATATTTAGGATTACTAATAAAATGCCTGTCAAGCAAGCTGCAACATATTATATACTAAAAAAAAAAAAAAAAAAAATCCCGCCAGTTGTGTATAGAGTTTGCATTGTTCCTGAGCAGTATAATGTTCTTGGAAATACAATGCTTCAACCCCAGATGAAACTTCTATCCCCTGGCATTTCCACCCTCCGATTTCTCACTCGTGTGTATTTTTTACATCCCCCTTCCATGTAGCTCCACCAAGCCTCGCAGACGTCAGTGGGTCAAGCAGCCTCCCAAAGCAGCCTTCTGCACCTGGCTCACAGCCAAGCATCCATGTCTCAAAGCCCCATCCGGCAGGCTTCCTCTTCTTCCTCCTCATCCTCCTCTTCTTCAGCTTTGAGCGTGGGCCAGTTAGTCAGCAGTAAGTATCCTTTCTGGCTCGGTGAAATCATGGTGGTCTTCTTGTTGCCTATCTGCAATGCCTTCCCTCCTCTCTCTCTCTCTCTCCCCTCCCTTTCTCTCTCCCCACCATCCCTCCGTCCTTCTTTCTCTCGTTCTTTCAACATCAAAGAGGAATTTCCCGGCCTTTCTAGGCCAATACCGGAATAAGGTCTCTGCCCAGGGCCAGATGGTTCCTTAGGGAAACAGGCCCCCGAAGCACGCCCCCTTCATGGGTGCGCGCAGGGGCGGGTCTCTATCTCAAGAGCTTTCTGCCATGCTGAGTCAGTCCTGCCGCTTTCAGGAGGGAGAAGCTGATCAGCTTGCAGGCCATAAGCCACAGAGCTCAGAACTGAAATCGCCAACAACAGGTACTCAGCCAGCAGGTCAAGCTGCTTTTCCGTGCGTTTGAAGTCCCCTGCCTTCTATCTGTAGGTGTCAGAGGAAATAAAAGAGACCGTGCCCGTGGGCGGGTGGGTGTGTGTGCACAATGAGCCGCCTCCAGGGGCACGTGGGGAAAGCTGCACGGGCTGGAACAGGATGGGAAATCTCTGAACCACCATTCATAAACTAAAATAAGCCTGCGGGTCTGCTTCCCTGAGTGGGCCACATATATATGTAACGTTTAGAAACGGCATGTGGCCCCACGTAAAGACAGCGTGTGTATCACATGCAAATCAGAACATGTGGAGATGAATGGGACAATGGTCTGATTTCAGGTTAGTCGTTCACCTTTGGGTGCAATTTTTACCCATAAATAAAATCACAGAATGCGCACTTCGATTATAATTCTCCAGGAACCGAAAATCCAGTAATTACAGGTTTAAAGGGCTAAAGCACTGCATAGATATCTGTGCCATAAAATAAAGACACATCTGAGTATCTGTGTTTGATCGAGTGTCATGAATAACTTGTTATAACAGGAACAGCAGGGATCCTCATGTAATGAGAAGCAAAATGGAGGGTTGCCATGCCCTCCCCATGCAAGCAACCCCCCCCAAAAAGAATATATATGTGTATGCATACCTACATATAAGTTCAATTATATGGATAATTCAGGCAAGAAGGATTTGGAATGGAGAAGAGAATGAGGACTTATGGGAAGATATGAAAATGCCCAACTATCTCAACTAGCCTGGAGGCTCCTGACCCCAAAGATGGGTCAGCACCAAACAGAGTTTCAGAGTACATATTGGAGTTTGCCATCAACCAGTTATTATAGGTTGTTTAGATATACAACCCCTCTCGTTTGGGCTAGAAACTCTAGTTTTACTAGAATAAAATCATAAATAAAGTTAATTTAATTATAGCCAGATTTTCCCCAAGAAAGACACTCCTCATAGGGGTGTTAGGAAAGATTTCAACATCATTCCAATTCGATATTCTGCATAAGTTTCCACAAAATACTCTAGTTATAAATAGCAGCACAGTCATAAATTTAGGATAGGCTTTAAGCTTTGGTCCTATAAGAAAAGGAACTGAGATCAAATATCTTACAGAGAAGAAATAAGGTAAATACGAAATAAAGTACAAATCATCCCACAAACACAGTATTTTACACAATGTAACCAGTCCATGTTGGAGATGAATGAGTGGCTGAACACACAGACAGACGGATGGATGATACCGGGTTCCCTCTAGTCACTTGTCTCGAACTGGTCAGGAAAGGAGCAGCCTTTTTCAGAAATCCATCACAGAGCTACTTAATGGGACAGATGGAATTTCAACTGCACGGTTGCCAATGGGGCATCTAAGTTCCGGGTGTATAATGAGTGAACCATATTACATATCCTGATATGAAATATAAAGAATGGGGACAGAGACTCCTTTACCATATGCACTTGAGGCAGGAAACTCCAAACTTACATGCAGAGCCTGAATGAGGAGCCTTCTCCAGCAGATATAGGGGAGGCACAAGCAGTCCCCCTGGGGGTCAGACTTTATACAAACCCACTCCTGGGCTTAAAATTGTTAACCGATTTTGAGCATGTTGTTTAATTGATTTCCTTCTGTCTCAAAACCCAACTACACAATGAATGATACACAGAGCATTTCTCTGATGCTGATTCTCCCAACCAATCTCTGTTTAAGACTTGATTTGTAAAGAAGGGTTTTCAGAGCACTTCAATACTGTGCCCATTTTAATACAGTGAGGTCATAGAAATCCTCATTTGCAGATCTTGAAACTGACATCGGTCAGATCCTGAAAGTACTACCCATTTTGGCCGTCTTCTGTCAGAGGGACCACATCCCATCTTGGTTGAGAGGCTGTGACACTCTGTGTGACAAATCTAATGGGTGGCAGGACCAGGATGATAACCCAATGGGTCATACACAGGCTACACAGCACAGCAGCCTTCAAAAATCGGATGCTTACCCCTGAATTTTATCCAGTGACATTTGAATGACAGTATATGTCAAATCACCTAAATATTCCTCAAATAATTCTTTAAAAGCCTGGACCTATGCCTTACAATTAAAGCACAGGGTTTTCCCTGAGCTAATATAAAGAGAAAAACTAAACATTGTGCATATATTGAAGTCATAGTCAAGCATGAAATATCCATTTAAAATTATTGTTGTCTGAGATGAAACTTCACCAAATCTGCAGATAGGATAATATGGGGAGCCCAAACCCCTACTTCAGATGTAGTTGTGATACAGATGAAATTACAGGGGAACAAAAGGGTGGTTTCGTCAGAGGCTGTCAACTTAAAAATAAAAACACAGTGCCATGTGTATGCCAAGCACAGGAATAGAAATTAAGAAAGCAAAAATAAGCAAGATGGGCTCCCTGCCCTGGGGGAAGTCATGAACTGGTAACAAAGAAACACAGTTACAATAAAGGGAAATGAACGCTATGATCAACACAAGAACAGGGACTATGGCAATACAGTTGATAGTTAACTTGGTTTTAGAGGTTGAGACAGAACAGAAAGACTTGCTAGAATAAATAATTCTTGAATTGAGTTGGATGGTTAATCAACAAATCCCTCCAAGAAACCAAGGCCAGGTCAACCTGGACTTGAACTTGTGGTCAAGACCTTGGTCAATGAACCCTCCCACATCCATGGTCAAATATTGGCACCATAGTGCTGTGCAACTTGCCACTGTTCCAGAGAAAATGGAACCAAAAGTCACCCCCAAATCTTCCCCACTCCAGGCAAAAGAACACAGAGTTAACGCCTTAGCAATGATAACGGGATCTTCATGTGCAAGGAACACCACATCTGAGCTCAGTGTTACCAAATAAGCACACTCCTTCCTCCCAAGAACACCTGCTGTAGGTACCTGTTCGCTGTTCCCACACAGCTTGCCCTGTGTTATACCTTGCTCGGTTGCCACAGTCATCAGAAGTAAATATAGTTTCTATAAGCAGGGCTTTTGGAAAGTCTAACAGAGTCAAACAAGTGACTTGAGAAATGTCCCAAATTGGCTCAAGATTTACACAGTATTGTTTAAAAACAGGTAGATTTTGGGGTTTTTAATTCTTTGCTGAGTTTGGTTTTGTTTTGTTTTTCAGTACACACTCTTTAAACCCCTGGCCAGTAAACTTGATTTTTTCAGACAGCAAAGGACCGCTGGCTATTACCAGAAAAAACAAGCCATAAAGTGAACATAAAGATGCATGGTGATAGCTTATGGTACCCCTGATTCCCATGATCACAACTCACACTATTTTCCACAATGAAGTCACCATATTGCAAGTAAACTGTTCTCCCAAATTACATTGCACATTCTTAAGTGGTTTCTTATTTCTCAGAAATATTTGGTAAATATGCCTATTATTTGCTGTGAGAATAGCATAAGAAAGCAGATGGGTGTTTACATAAGACCGTTAATTCATACTTGGCAGCTTCTTTAAAGTTGCATGTTTTTCATAGAAAAATCCCACAAGCAGAGGTTGTAGAAGGATGATGTTGATGGATGGTGACGGTTCGACCCAGTTAGCAACCCCTTATACTGATGTCCATGTCAACTGGTGGAAGGAGCTAAATTTTAAAAAGTAAACAAAACAAAACATCTGTGCTGGTCCATCCTCAGCGCTCAGTTCGGTATGGACCCAGTGACCATACAACCAGATTCTGCAGAACAGGATTGTTTTCACCCAATTTGCATTTAGTTCCCATAAAAAATCTTTTATTTCTCAGCCCTTGCATTCCAGATTTGGTTTGGGAGACGTCATGCTTATGAAATCCTGCCAATTTTCAATGCCAGTTGATTCTAAATCTCTGGGCCAGTTAATCTCTATATAGGTTGATCTTCTGGCTTCTCTAGCAAGGGTCAGATTTGGGGCAGATCCTGGCCATCCTTCTTGTGGCTTCCTGAACCTGTACTTAATATATTGGGCTGACTTCATCTGGAGCAAATTTCTCTGAAAGGTGTCACTTCCTCCTCAATGCAGAGAAATCCCAGACCGGGTTGCCCTAGTGCTGGATCGACCCAGTAGGGGATCTGAGAGATCCCTCTGAGGTCCCCGTCCCCATCAAGGTGGCCTCAGAATCCTCCTTGAAATTAACCCAACCTCCCTGAGCCAGGAGACTGGATAAGGGAAAACCAGACTGAACTATCCCAGGATGGAATGTCAACCTCTGAGCCAGACTGAGAGCTGAAGTCACATCCCAGGGAAGAGGCTCCCATTTCGTTTCCCCTCCTCAGATAGAAAAGCATATATCCCTTAAGGAAGGGGTATTGTTCCAACAGTGGGAGGGGCGGAATCCTCAAGAGTTTAAGACAGAAACTTTAGGATCAAAAAAAAAAAGCATAAATTTTTTTTATCAATTCAAAAACACCTTACGGACACTACCTCATGAATTCTCCCAAAGTGTGAAAACAAGTCCCACATGCTGTAATCAGGGTGAAACTGATTTTTGTTCATGGGTGGGCCCCTTCTTTGCATGGGGCTGGGGGCCTTTGTAGTCTTGGGACTCATGGAGAAAACTGTAGTAAGACATTTTACCACCTGATTTTATGGGTAAGAAAAACAATATAAGGAAAACCAGGAAGCTCATCTCCAGCAGTTAACAAATTGTGCAAAGAAGAAGATACCGATTTCCCTTCCCTGGGCCTTTATCCAGCAGATCATCAACCTGTTTAAATTTCACAGAATTCCTATCTCATCAGCTCTCTAAGTAGAACGAGGGAAAAGACAAGAAGGGAAACGTGTGAGAAGAGGAAGAAGGAACTCAGCTTCCTGGTGTGACGAGTGTTTGTCTGGAGCCCCACGGAAGACCCTGGGCTCAGTGGGGCAGGGAGCCACCTCTCTGAGCTTTAGAGTGAAAGCTTCGACAGTCAGTCAGTGCAGGGAGTAAGAGTCCACAGCTTTCAGTTCAACTCTGGTTATTGTCAGTAATCTGGCACAAGCAAGATTTAGTTGCTAGTCTCGGGGAACCAGGAAGACAACATAAGCATTAAAGGCAGCAGGGGAAGGGAAGAATAAGATAGAATGGATTTACATAAAATTGCCACCCAAGTCAGAAACCTGCACAGGCCACAGGGCTGAAGCAGAACACAGTATTCTTCGAGATCAAAGACCCGCCCCGCACGTGCTGCATAACTCAGTTGATTCCTGTTGATCTAGAGATGGAGCTAATAGAAGGCAACAAATTTACTTCCCACAAGGGCTACTTAGCTTTGCTCAGAGAAAAACTCTCCCCCTAGCTCCAGACTACACTGGCAACCCCAGCCCGCTGACACCCAGGCATTTGCCACTTGCCATAAATGGTGGAGTTGGGGTTGGGGAAGGGTATGGGATAGGGTGCCTGCCCAGGGGTCCCCCCTCACAGCGCCTCTTTGGCTCATCACTCTTACACAGGTGGTACAGCAACTTTTCTGTGTAGTGGAACCTGGTGAATAAGGACGGTAAAGAGTGGAGAGAAGACAGCAGTTTGCAGAGGGGGCCATGCCTAGACTCGGGCAGGCCAGAAACATAGAGAAGGCCCCTGTCTGTGGGGTCAAGGGATCCCCTGCTTCAGAATCACCTGGGGCACTTGTTCAAAATGCATGTCCTGGGCCCCATCAGGTGACTCCTAGTCCTGCCAAAGGAAGAAAAGCACCATCCTAAAAGCCATATCGTTATAAGGAAAGTCTCCAGTTTCCAATTTTTCACCTGGGTTTTGCATCTCCCCTGCCCACGCTGGAAAGGCTCTCAGCCTTCTCTCCCGGCAGGAGGCCAGGCCTCCCCGTGTCCGTCTGTACCAAGTGGCCAGCTCTGTTCCAAACCAGAGCTTCTCGACTACTATTTTATCATCACCTCCTTCCCCCACAAGAAGCCCTTTTATGCTTTTTTAAATCCCTGTTACCCTCCTTCCCCCGTGAAACGTTAATATCACAGATCTACTGCACATCTGTACTGTTTATGTGCTGCAGCCCTCTGCGGGGGGGCGGGGGGGAGGGGGGGTCCAGAACCACCCCGTTGGGAATGCACACTCTGAACGCAGAGTCCCCAAAACAGGCTGAGCCAGGCAGCAGGTCTCAGGAGGGCTGCCGATGAGGAGCTGAACAGGCAGCCAGAACCAGTTCTAGCTGACTGATCGTTCCCAAGTAAGTGCCAACGGAGGCCTGGTGCAGCCAAACCTTCTAAACATTTCAAAAGAACCTAAAAAAAAAAAAAAAAAGGAAATGTTTTTCTTGTGAAACCTCCCAATGTTTAAATGTTGGCAATTCCAAAAACTTGTAAGCTCTAGGAAAGCTGAGTTGTATGTGCAAGCTGCTCATTTGCAACTTCTGCTCTAGGGATGTTTGAAGGAAGAAATGAGAGAAGAGGCTGCCGTGTGCGTGGACGTGACTTCCCAGAATCCTTAGCAAACCCTTCAAGTTTCTTCCAGGCTGCTGCACGGGGGGGACTTAAGATCCAGAGGGCAGCCTCTCCCAAGGACAACCCAAACAAGTCTTTCTTTAACCAGGGTTGCCAGCCCTCTGGGGGGAATTTGGAGGGGGGAAAAAGCAAGATTGTAATTAATCTTAATCAGTTTTGTAGCCACACTCTGCCCGTGTGCACGGACACAGATTCTCGATGTCCTACACTGAAATATCCTCCACTCCTAGCACAAGCTCCCCAGTCCAGCCTGCTAAACGGCTTGCAGGCACCCCCACAGTGCTTTGCTCCTGCCTATGTGCACGCTGCTCCCACAGGCCAGATGTGGCCCCTCCATTCTGCGACAGCTGCCCATTGGGCAGGACCCACTGTCACCTCTCCCTTCTCTGTAAATTCTGCTGTGGGGGTTGGACACCGTTAGTTCTTGATTATGCTCAGCCTGGTATTTTTCAGGAATTGATTCTCATTCATAATATTGAGCCCCAAGCCCCTATAGACTGTAAACTCCATAGAGGCTGGAACTCCCCCCCACCCAGTTCTCTTGTTCCCCCTTAATACTCAGTAGGATGCCCAGGAGTCACTTAAGAAATACTCACAGGGTCCCAGTGGTTGTACCACTTTTCAATCTTTCCTCGACAAACTTACAACGAATGACATGCAAAAATTCTACAGGACATTTTTTAACGTGAAGATAAAGAAGGTACCGTGCATAAGTGTATTGCAGATCCTACTGACAGAGTCCATTTCCCCCGTAATGAAAAGACCTGGACTGGAAGCTCCAAGCCCCCCACAGATACTAACATGTTTATTCAAAAGTCTTTGAACAATTGGCCCTTGAAATGCAAATGTTTATTTCTCTTCCGACAACAGGAGTTTCTGTAGCCCTGAGCCCGGAAGACGAATCTAGTCCACCAGAGTCCCTAGACAAGCACTTGAATTTACTGAAATTGATGGATTATTGTGCAGAAAGAGGAAGCGAAAAACTTTTCACCGAAGTCCGAGGAATGAGGTGGAGAACAATAGAGTCAGCTCGCAGGGAGAAGGGCTTCGCTCCAGGCAGGAGCGAGCAGCACTTTGAAATCTTCCCCTATCCCCAACCCATGCTGTCTCCAGCTTGGTTTATGCTTTCATTTATCATTTATCCGGGGATCAGTAGCGGGAAGGGGGGGTTTCCTTCTCCAGCTGTTGTGTCATTTCCCTTGATAAGTCCTAAATTGACCGTGTTATCCGGGACCAAAGGAGCCTTCCTGCAGTAGGCATTTTTTATTATGTGCCCTTTTAGGGGACAAAGGCATCGTGTCAGTAAACTGCTATGGGCGGGGGCGGGGGGGGCGGGGATACAGTATTATTCTCACAGCTTCATAAGCATGCTCTTCCGAGGGGCTAACAGGAACGTAAGAAATTAGACAACATTACCATCTGTTAGCCTGCCTGCCTCAGTGATCTGGTGAAGGACAAAACAAAATCCTCTTTTTCTCAAGGGCAATTTTTAGCCCTAAAGAACCCAATTAAGACATTTCAAATTGAAACCTTACCCTATTTATGTTTTTGCACAATATTTGAGCCTATCGATGGGCAAAATGGAATCGCATCCCCTAGCTCACGCCTCCCTGCCCTGGTTGTGACGGGTTAAGCCCAGGGGAACATGCTCTTGTATCTTGGAAGTGGCCATGTGTGAACTACCTGTGGTTTTATCTGGGATAGAAACATCCCCAGGGGTGATTTGTGGAGGTGTAACGCCTTGAGGATGGGGCCCTGGGTGCCTCACTCGGGAGACAAAGAGAACATTCTACAATGTCAGTTTCCCCACCATCTGCTGTTAAAGAGAGCCACTTTCTTAGAAGCCGTAATAAACAGATATTGCTTGGGTGTGTGTTGACGTATTGATCCTATTTTTAAAAACATCTCCACAGATCCTCAAACGGCAGCGGGTGAGGTGGATGGGGTTAATCTGGAGGAGATCCGAGAATTTGCCAAAGCTTTTAAAATCCGGCGCCTGTCCCTTGGCCTGACCCAGACTCAGGTGGGACAGGCTCTCAGTGCTACAGAGGGCCCCGCGTACAGCCAGTCGGCCATCTGCAGGTAACCCGTGCCCACATGCTGTCACCTCTCCTGGCCGGCCTGGGCCTCGTTTGTCCTCATGGCTCAGCTTTTCTTCTTCGGGTGGGCAGAGCTGGAGGGGTAGAGTATGGGAACTAAGTTTGGGGGGGGTTGGGGGGGCTTATACGTTGGAATCGGTGACATGGACAGAAACGAAGGTGCTAAAGCAGATGCGGGGGCCTGGCTTGATAACTCCTGTCAACTCACAAAGAAGGCAGTGTCATTGGAAATCCCCCACCACGGGCCAGAAGTTTCCTTCTGGACTCCCCCTCCTACGCAGCTGAGACCTCCCCGCCCCTTCTCCTGTCTGCAGACAGGTATCCTGAGCAAAAGCCATAAAGCTGCCTGTCCCAACGGGTGTTAACACTCCCCCCATTTCGGCCTAGGGACGGCTATCGGGATTTTTCCAAGGAAATACACCTTAAAAAGAAAATTAACCATCTCGTGACCGCAAAGGAATGCTTTAACACTGCCTTCCCAGACACAACGCTAAAGGCCCTCCCCCTTTTTTTTTTTCAAAGAAGCAGCTGCTTTACATGGCTCAGAAAGGGGTAGTGAGAATCTGGCTTACCCTGTCCCCACCCCTCCAAAAAAAAAAAAAAAAACTAAATAAATACATAAATGACAGAATCCAGCCTTGGTTGTGTTCAAGTTGATCTGGGTCAAGCCGCCAGCAGCAGATCCCGTGCATGTGTGTATGTGTGTGTGTGTTGCACTAATCCCATGTTTATGCATGAGGTAACAAAGGCACTTCTGTAAGAGCTTTTTCCTCTTGGGCAATGCCTTATGAGTCCTCCTCCATCAGGAAAAGCCAAGAAACCAACTCTAAACTCATTTAAGTGGATTTTGTTCTTGGTGATCCATGAAATGCTGTCTTTTTATCTGCTCTTTATACTTTTAATGTATTCCCCAAAGGACAGAAGTGTACTTTTCCTGCAGTTTAAGACTAAGGTTATAAATAACATCAGTATGGGGTAGTAGCTTGCAGCTCACATTTTGCTCAATGATTTTCCATAAAACCCATTGATTGTTGTTAAATACAAAAAGCACCATAGGATCCTCTCACGTCTATGGTCTCCCCTACTGTTTTTTCTTATAAGATACCTCCCTGTAGAAAATAACCTTTATTCAGTCTATACAAGGATACTACTGCTGGGAAATTTGTTTCAAGGCTTGTATATGTTATTCCCAACAACACCAACGGAACATCAACACTAACAAGCAGCATCAATGATATGAATACTGTTGCTCCCTGTTGGGAAACATTAATTTTGTTTCATCTTGACAGCCTTGTGATGAAGGCAGCCACAGGTTTTTTTAAGTTGTCCATTTGTTATTTTTGCTAATGTCCTCTCTGACTTATTTTTAGTCCTAAAACGTGATTTCCTTTTATTGGCTTAAGTGCCATCTGATGTTTTCACCAACACCCATAGAGTGTCTAAGGCATTCCCAATCAATGTAGATTTCTAAAGTCTCCCCCAGGGGAAGCCAAGAAACCTATGGCTGAAATGGAGAGAGAGAGACCCTGGGAATTCACTGTATGCCAGAATGTGCCAGAAGCCTTGACTTTACAGCCTTTCTCTAGCTGCTAGGGTCTGGGTGAGCTAGTTTTAGGAGCTAACGACCAAGAGAAAAAAAATGAAAGTCTTGAAAGAGATGGAGATCTGACGTTGGAACGATTCACGTTTATTGAAGGGGAGGGAAGGAATCTGCATTTGAGCCTGCACACCCAGGTGTCACTTATGAGCGATGGTGACTTCCAGGCACGGCTCCGACAAGTGCCTCCTTAACAGAGACGCAGAGAAGGAAACACCACCAACACGCTGACCATCCCTATTGCAAGCTTTGTCCCTCACACCGAGGCACTGTGAAGCCTGTTGTCACACTATCCAGAGTTTAAGCTCTGTAGCTTTTATGGTAAAATGTGGTAGGTAGCAAATTACCACCACAGTTAGAGCTTTGTGGCAAGCTCATTAAATGAAATTAGACGATTAGTTCATTTTCTATTGAAAGCAAAATGTACTTCTTCCCCCTTTGATCAGTAGTGGAAGTTGGGTTTTATAAAAAAATAAACAAATAACCCCTTGAACTCTACAGGGAAGGCAATGCTATGGAAATCACATTAAAACTTGATACTGTTTGCAGTATCAAGATAAGATTATGGCCCATAAAGGAAGCCTATCCTTTTGTGTCCTTCTGCAAGCGTCCTTACAAAGCATATTCTGGCTAGAGCAGGTTCATTTTAGCTCTATAAGATGCACTCTGCAGTCAGACGGTTGTCTTCCGATACACTGAACACTTAAAAAGAGTATATCCAAAGAGGAGATCTGTGTATCCGAAGTCATCATACGGGAGGGCCGTGAATTTGGATTTAGGATAAACAAACGAAGGAATAAAAGCAACTGGCACTTCTGTGTATTTCATTGAGCGTGAGGCTGAATTGGATACCAGGATGACCTCTTAAAACACTCCATGTAATTTTGTCCCGAGATGCTTCATATTTTTTAAAATCAGTGTAGCAAAGAATTGCTGATGGCGATTGATACATAGAAGACCTCATTTACAGAAAATGATATCATGGGAGTACTGTTTGCAGATATCACACATTAAACACAGCTTGATGCCCTGGTGCCAAAGTACCCCATTACGCTGGACAGCGTTTGAAAGGCATGAGGTGGCCTTCGCACATCCAGGGAGGGGGTTATTCGTAGCAATTACAAGGTGTCCAGCTGCTGAGTCCCCCCAGTAAAGTAGCAACAGGCCGTGTTTTACCTGGAAAGCGGGCAAGTTGTTAACTGACATATGATGCAAATTGTTTGTTACCAGAGAGAGAGCAGGGGTGGGGGGGAGAGACAGACAGACGGAGAAAGAGAGAGGGAGGGAGGGATTAAAATGAGACACTAAACAGAGATGAAAAGAACCGCGACCCAGCGTCATCCCTGACTCGACTGGTAACTTACAACATTTTCATAATGGAGTCCATGGGAGGGGTTTCGGGAAAACCAAACGGAAGCCATACAACAGAGTCGTTTTAAATGAAAGAACGTGACAGCTGCTGTCTCCGACGCCCCTTGGACGGGTCGTTTCTGTTTCCATCGTGGTGGCTCGCGGGTCCTGCCGTCTGCACCCTTCCCCACCCCCATCCGTGTGGCTGTGTGGGCTGCATGCGGGGCATGAACATGCATGGGGGCGGGGGGCGCTGGCTTGAGCGGGGGGGACGGCTGCCTTGCAGCTGGCTGCTCATCCGGAGTGAATTCGCTCTGCCAGGCGGTCAGGCAGGCAGGCAGGCAGGAGGCCCACCCTGGCAGAGGACTCAGTGTAAGACTGTTCTTTCTCAATTCTCCCCCCAGACACACCATCCTGAGAAGCCACTTTTTCCTACCACAGGAAGCCCAAGAGAACACTATAGCTAGCAGTCTGACAGCCAAACTGAACCCTGGCCTTTTGTATCCTGCCAGGTTTGAAAAGCTGGACATCACCCCTAAAAGTGCCCAGAAGATCAAGCCGGTGCTTGAGCGGTGGATGGCTGAGGCTGAGGCCCGCCATCGAGCAGGTATGCAGAACCTGACCGAGTTTATCGGGAGTGAGCCATCCAAAAAGCGCAAGCGGCGCACCTCCTTCACACCCCAGGCCCTTGAGACCCTCAATGCCCACTTTGAGAAGAACACACACCCCTCTGGGCAGGAAATGACCGAGATTGCCGAGAAGCTGAACTATGACCGGGAAGTAGTTAGAGTTTGGTTCTGCAATAAGAGGCAAGCCCTGAAGAACACAATTAAGCGCTTAAAACAGCACGAGCCGGCCACGGCGGTCCCCCTGGAGCCCTTGACAGACTCTCTGGAAGAAAACTCCTAAAGAGACACCCAGCCTGCAAGCAGAAGCAAAACCCACAGAAACTTAAACTCCGCCCTCGGACGCCACAAATCAGAATTCATGACAAGAAGAAGAAGAAGAAAAAGACTACATTGAAAACAAAGTCAAAAGAGAGCCCCAGTCGTCACCCTTGTAAGTAAAGAGACTAAGAAAACTACCAAGTGGACAGAATGGTTTATACGTGTCCTTTGGTTTTCCAAAAATGAAAAAAAAAAAATTTTTTTGAAAATTTTTAAACAAGGCACACACCGCACCTGCAGGTGTGTGTGGTAGGATAGTCCCCTGGTCCGCCCGTCTCCCCGAAGCCAATTTTCTAATGGACTTAAAGCAAACCAAATAACCACATACTTTTTTCTGTATATTATGAAAATGTGAACACATTTTAAGGAAAAAGAAAAACAACTAAACCAAAAAAACAAACAAACAAAAAAGGAAGAAAGAAAGAAAGAAAAAAATAATAAACCCAACAACAAAACAAAAAACTTGCATCTGTTCCAAGCGAATACAAGCCTGCCACCTGGAGGAGGAACTGCGTTCTTTCAGGTTCTAAGTGCTGATTCACTCTGAAACCCTATTAACCAAAGTCAGAAACATGGCATTGCAAACGCGATCGTTGGTCTACTCTTCTCTGCGTGTAAAGTTGTGTTACGAATTTTTACATTTGTATGTAAAGGAAAATTACGGAGCCTGATTTCTCCTGTCTTACCCATCTCTGTCCTCATCTGTGAGGTGGGTGTCATTGCTGAAGCCATCCTCTGAGGCTCACTGTTGGTTTTCATTTGGGGTGGGGGGTTCTTTTCTCTTTGTCTTGGTTTTGTTTTTTGGGGGGGAGGGGGCATCCTGGATCGTGTGCCAAAGCATCCATTGCTTTCTTCTCACTATGACTTGTGGGTTTGAGAAAAGAAAATGGAGCTCGCATTTCTCATTCTTCCTCCATTTCTCCATCTCCCTCGGGTGCGGCCTCCAGGGTCTACAGGGGGGCCACTGAGTGGGAACGGTGTCTTTTCCACTCAGATCCCAGCGAAATGCAGGAGAGACTCCAAAATATCTAGGGCTTTGCTCGATGAACTGTCAACACTGGCAGAAGCTGTAATTGTACTCACTGTCCACACCAGAGCTTGGGATTTTTCTCAGTCTGCTGGCCACGTACATGGAGAGCTGACCAAAACTAATTTTGTAATATAAACATAAACTGCACATTTGGTTCAATACTTACATCTATGTTATGCTTCTGTGCAAAGCAATTTCTCTCAGAAGTCTGATAGCCAAAGAAATGTCTCAAGATTTCAGTCAGAACACACACATAGCACGCACACACCCACATGCACGCACACAAAGACAACAGGCCAAAAAGAAAGGGGTGGTAACTGGATCCTTAGAGGCCATCATGTATCCTGTAAGTCCCATCTTTTCTGCTACTCTTTTCATTCCAGTAGGGATGGCAGACTTTTTTCAGGGCAGGGGGAGCCATTCATTGTTCTTGGGATATACATTTACAAATGGAGCAGAAAGTTGGAAGATGAATTTAAATGATTGGGATTGGGGGCTGGGTTCTTGAGGGGAACAGAAGTTGTAACAGTGAAGTACCTCCACCGAAAGGAAAATTCTAGAAGCGGCTTATCTAACACGTCAGAGTAGCCTTCACCATTAGAACGAGGGGATTAGTTCTGTTTTCAAAATAACTTACTCGAAAGGTACTTGGGCCAGAATCACCTGATGAGCCAGAAGGAAAAGGTGAGACATGAGGATGGCCGGGCAGGTGGCCAAGCGGTTCCCCCAGAGCCAGGCACGATGCGTTTGGTCTAAGGAGCCGGCAAAGGGAACCACCGATCTGCCGGCTGTCTCAATGCAAATATTCTCGAGTCACTAGTTACTAATCACGCTCATGTCCTCTCTAGAAGTAAATTGTGAAAGAAAGAAAAAAACTAAACCCTCAAGTTGCCCAGCTGAATAGAAATGTCATCTTCCTCCCCTAATGCTCTCCCTCCCCCCGGGAGTGTGAGTTTCTTCTTCTGTGGGGCCCTTTGCAGGTGTCAGTGCGATGGCAGGACTGTCCCCACCCACCCACCTGCCCCCCCCCTCCCTGCCGGACGGTTCCTGCGCCAATCAGGAGACCACCGGCAAGGAAACTCAAAAGGAAATGCTGCGGGTGGAATTATTTGCTTATAAAGGCATTTCCAATCCACCAGTCTGAGGCTAACTGGACCACAGCTAACTTGATCTTCAATGCCAATGACATCATGGTACACATTTCACCACCTCCAAAACTGCACACAAAGACCAACAACCTGGAAATCCAAAAATGTATCGATTAGACAGATTTTGTATTCCCCTCGGACCTGCTCTAAATTCCATCAAGAGAGGCTCCCCAGGAAGAGAAGTTAACCAGAGGACATATGATGGATGCTAAATGTTTAAACATACGCCAGCAACAGTTACATAAGGCCTGCTCCGTTCGGAGATCTATAATTGGGAGGGTATAACTAGGACAGTGAAAATATAAAAGAAAAGTAATCTTCCAGAGTGGAATAAAATAGAAATATATTCATCCCACAGTCATAAAACCATTCATGTGCAGTGATTTTTTTTATAGTTTTATAATTTTGTATTGTTTTATAAATTATTTATAAGGTGTTGTAATGCTTCTTATATTAATTTTTTACAGATAAATTTTTTGCTACAAGGCATAAAAAGGTGCCTGAACAAATTCTTAGGAATATAAATTATACTGTGTGACTTGTAAGTCTTCGGGACCTCACCTACTGCTTAATTTTATTATGACATTTCTTATTTCCACTTGTAAACAACTTCGTATATGCCAGTAACTCTTAAGTGTCTTTTATGTTTCCATGAACTGAAGGATAAAGTTGCCACTAACAAAAAATAAAAGCCACTTCGGGCATATGTGATTGTATTTCAAGCTTCAATATTTTTCTTACGTAGTCTTAAATTATGGTCATGTTCATTTCCTTCATTGTCTGATAAAAAAGTGAAAGGACTGATGTTCTGTTTCACCCTTGTTTGTAGGCTTTTTTTCAACCAAAAACCATATTGAACAACTGAGGGTTTTAGTTGTATTGCAAGGTTTTGGTTTCTATATGTTGTAATCACCCAACACTACCACGCATACACACGCATACACACACATAACACACACACACACACAAACACACGCACACACACCCCACAAGAGAGAGAACAAAAAAGCAAAAGGAGCTAGGAAAAAAGAAAACCAAGTAGAGGCGTATCAAAGAACTCAAGCTATAACCAAAAAGAAATTGTAAAATGCCTTTGCTCATCTTCTCTACGCTGGACCAAAGCTCAATATTTGTAGGTATATGCACATTGTATAGATATGGCTTAAATGTTGCTGACAATCTCGCAATACTAAACTGTTCCTATTTTAAGAAAAAAAAAAGAAATACAAACTGTTCATCAGTGTTTTACCTCAGCACTCTACTTGTACCCAGTTAATGACCAAGCTTAAAAAAATGGAGAAAAAGGAAATTGATTTTCATTTCAATGTTTGAGTGTAAAATCTGTTTGGATAACATTTTGTAATGAGCTTTCGTCATGTGATTTGCTTGTCTTCAACTTGAAATTATGTGAGGCACATTTGTTTTATTTGTTGTTAAGAAAGTGATTTTTTTTTCTTTTTGTCCTACGTGCTGTGATCTAGACTGGTCACCAGGGTCACTGATGAGGCCCCACAGAGAGCTGCCTGCTCCCCGCATGGGGGAGGCAGCAGGAAGGAGGGCAGGAAAACCTACTGGGTTGTTTTGAAAAAAAAAATCATCATGATGAGAAGTTGACATGATGGACTTGTGACCGAGAAGCCAAACTGGATATTTAAAAGCTCCTTACTTGCTCTGACATTGAAACCAAAGCTGATTTATCTGCACAGGTTGCTTAACGTTTAAAAAAAAAAAAAAAAAAACTGACAAAACTGTACTTAATCTAGAGCAATATCTGTATGGTCAGTAAAGCTGCACTTTGTGTATTTCTTAACAGCTTCAGATCTGTCACTTTTAATTTGTACCGTAAAAAATAAAGAATTGTTTGACATGAGCTTCTAGGCTAAGTGTGTCTTGAACTCAGATATGTCATTGAAATTGTAAGCATGTAAATGAGCATGTGTTATAACCCCGGATGTTAAGAAAAGGAAAGGGTTCCAGGCAGACTGGTTAATATCATGATTATTTCAACTTTTCAAATAAAATACTAGATAAATTAGGACTCCATTGGTTGCAGGTTACAGAAATCCAACTTAAACTTGTGGAGACAAAAAAAGCCAATGGTATTTGACCTGACGCAGAAGTCTTGCTGGGGACCTCAAGCACCGCTGGATACGATGGTTCCAAGGACGTCATCAGCCTGCCCCTGCTCCGCTTCCTTCCAAGACGGAGACCCCAGATGTGGAGTCTTTGCACCTGTCTCTAAATGAGGCGCCATGTTGGGGGATGATGTTCTGGAATCGGCCACTAAGGGTCACAGACCCACCCTGTCTGTGGTCAGGGGATGGGGCCTCATGATGACAACCCCGTGGGGCCCCCAAGGATGAAGGAGGAAGTCTCCACAAGAACCTGAAGACGGAAGATGGCAAACCACAGCAGGCAGACAGAAGAACCCACAGCCTCCCGAGTCTCCTACGAACACCCAGCCGTGTGCCAGGTACTACAGAGGATTCTGCTGGGAAAGAGCTTTTGCTGCTCCTAAGCAACGCCTATCATTGCATGTTCTGGAACATTTAGGCATTTAGCATATGCTCCTGACGAAGTGTAATGGAAGAACGAGAGGTGAGTTAACGTTGTTTTATAATTTACTTGATCAAAAGGAAGATGGGAATATCTTGCTAAAATGCCAATAAAAGGTATATTTTTTTAATTAGAATCACAATCTGCATACTTTTAGTATGCATTTCTTAGGCTACATGGAGGTCCATATATCAACTTCATGTTGTGATTGATAAGAAGTGCTTTAGGACAAGCAACAGAACCAAAAATTGGAGGGCCCATACATTATAAATAGGCAACGAAAGTGGCCAGGAAGCTCCGGGATGGATTTTTAAGAAGAGCAAAAGGATGCTGATGCTTCTGCCCTCATGGGTAGAGAAAGATAAAATACAGTCCTTGTCAAGCTCTCTTTCCACATAAAGTCATCTAAAAATACTCTGGGCAAAGGCCATGCCCATCATTAAACCTATTATTATAAAATATGTTGGATAACATATCTTTAAAAAGGTAGCCATCTCAACTATACTCAAATTAAAAATAAAATAAGTATCTCAAAGAGATACTTGGATTTCCATCTTCATTACGGCACCATTCACAGTAGCCAAGATATAAAAAATAAACTGTGTTGTCCTTTGTTCATTATAAGAATGCTCAATATCCTAAAGAGACACA